TTCGTTTCTTATTTAATTGGTTCCACATTATTTGCTGATTTTTACTTTATTTAAACTTTGTGTCATTTATTTATTTTATTTGACATCAAGGTGTATGCCATGCCTCAAAGCTTTCTTACTCGTTTTGCTAATAAACGTTCTACGTTTCTTATTTATTTGGTTATATGTTATACATGTTTACTTATTTCCAGTTTTGTATACCTATTTAAACTTTATGTAAGTTATTTGTTATTTTATATTAGGCATAGCCTGCCCTATAGCATGGTGTGTTTTTATTTGTTTTGTTAATAAAAGTTCTGTTTTATATATACGCTAAGGTGAGTTTGACATTGTATTTTGTTGTTGCATTCAAGCAATTGACGCCGAATTGCCGCTAATTCGAAAGTGAAAGTAAAATGCGCACGCCGCTTTTACAAGCTATTTAAAAGGGAAGGAAAGCGAGGAAAAGAGGGAACGCCCCCGCGGTGATACCGGTATTACCGGTGTTGTCACATGTCGATTAACCGGTGGGAAACTTTCCTCACGGTCACAACCCTATTAAAAACATGAACTAGGATGACTCCCGTTGATGACTCTCTTGCCGCTCTTCTTTAATTGTTGTTCAATCCTCCTGTCAAAATGCTTCCGCTCGATGATAAAAAAAAGCAAAATTTGGATAATTGTAGAAAACATTTTTTATTTGTGAATAATGGCAGGATGTCATGTTTGACCATGTTTTCCTTTATAGGATCCTTACAATACCTTATCTAAATGACAGGTCCTTGCAGAAATTTCTCCTCGGCCTCCAGGATGGACTGATTTTCTACAAAAGCGAGGGCACAGATAGTGGACTACCAGAAAAGGAATTGGGATCACACGCCAAATAGCCAAGTATCATTTCGCATGTTTAGTTTTTACTACAAAAGTGTCTCTTTTATATTAACCACAAAAACAATTCTTTTTAGAGCAATGGTCTCATATTATGGATAAACTATTTGACATTAAAAACAATGTGAATCTGACATCATGCAGAGCACAGCTAACACATAAGACCTACCTCTGGAAAAAGGACATCCATAATGAATTTGATCTCGTCACTGTGGGTGTACTGTCCAGAATGGAAGTCAGGTGAGAGTAAATTGCATAAATCTGCTCCTGATCTTCAATGTATACAGGCACAGGCGCTGTCTTGGTGGAAAGCTTAGAAAAAGTGTAAAGCCACTTTGAATTCTTTTGGCCACTGCCTTGCCTTTCAAAAGTGATAAAAAATCGAATCTGCTGACCACCAATAGGATAACTCTAGTTACTGACAATAAACAGGTAGATTGATAATTAAAATGTTTTAATTTCATTTAAATTGTTTGAATGTAGGTTATGAAGAATAGAAATGTGAGTACTGCCATGAGGTGATTATGAAAAACAATGACATGGTATGATTGATACCTTATGGCTATGCTGATGGTTTATTGCTTTTTTTTTCATCTGTGCTGTGATTCCTCCATTGGCAAGGAAGGAACTTCAAGAATAAAACACCAAACTGAGATTTACAGAACCTAGTACACATACCCCTCTGTCTCAAATCAATTCATTGATATGTCAATTAGACATAGACACCACTCCCTGATTGCAGGAATGTAAATCTAACAGAAATTAAAATGTTACAGGATTAGTATTCAATTCTTATTGTTAGAACTCAAATGACCAACAAAGTACAACAACTTTATAACAACGTTTTAAGGAGGAAAATAGAAAAGCTCACCTGAGGGAAATTGAATGGCGTGTTCAGCACAGTGAGGGCATACTGTCTACATTATGTGCCATAGGAACGTGACAATCGTCTCTTAGCTGTGGACCTAAAGATGTCCCTGTACTTGTCATCTCCAAAACCAGACTTTGATAACTATACAGGGAGTCTAGTAGGAGGATCTCTCTAAAGAGTGGCTTCAGTACCTATAGGGATGCATAAGCAATGGTTGTGGCTAGGGAGTATAGAAAGTGTTATGACAATCCATTTCACATTTGCATTATCTTTGCCTTATGATATTGGGGTAAAATCACCTCTATGTAAAACCAGCATAAAAGAACACTCCCTCCAGTTCCCTCCCTCCCACAAAGTTAAATAATTATTATATTCCTATGAGCTACACCATGTAAAATCTTGCATATAACAGATAATGGTCTGGGCCAGCAGCTTGTGTCCCAGCAGGGAACACAAGGGCATCCTTCGTGTCAGCAATATCCTAAAAAACACATAAATAACACCAATAAAGAACACTTTTTATTTTACTTCTGACTTACAGTAGATGTTGAATAGTATGATTTATGCATTCAGTACTCACTGGAAAGTAGGCTAGGGGATTTTTACAGTTTTTTTTTCACGTGGCAACAACATGCATGTTGGCGGTGTATATGTCTTTGTCCTGTGAGAGTAAAAGGAAAAATTAAGCAGACTACCACTTGCCATTCATATATGAAATGAAGAAACTTTCTAGTCTTTTAAAAAACTACAAACAGCTGATGTAAAATAATGTGAAAAAGATTTATACATGCACTTGAGCCTCTTCATAGATGAGTTTCATGCAGGCATTTCCATTCTGCAAGAAATATCTAGCACATACACAAAAGTGTAAGTTCTTTAAACAAAGAAAACAAATAGCATACATGCAAATGTTTCTACTTGCATCCACCTGACCATCAATAAGTTTAATTATTATACAATAAGAGAGACGAAATTGTCTCTCGATATGAAGTACATAGCCCTATCTATTGACATATTGAAATGAATTGACAATTAATTATAAATGTTGCAACATTGCAGGATTGCTGAACAATAATAACTTTTGCGATTATTTAACATACCTCGTATTCGTGTCGCTTCTAGACTTGTCTGTTCTGATGGCTCATACTGTACAGCTTCCCCCTACTGGGCACATCAGGAACAACAGGGGCATAAAACTGCCTGCCTAAATCTGCCTGCTCCAGGTCTGCAGACCCGACCCCCCCCCTCATTAGGATGGACTATTTTAAGTTAGCAAAATTAAATAATAAAATAAAGTTTACACCAAAACAATAATTCTGTCACTATTTAATAACTCGCGTGTTCTAAACCCATATAAATTTCTTACTTGTGTGGAACGCAAAAGGAGAATATTCATGGTGTATTGGAAGTTTAATAACTAATTGTGTTTTGCTGTGTGTGTAGTGGAGGGTGGCCAGAGAGCCGTTATCTTCAGCAGAATTGGAGGGATGCAGATGGACACTGTGCTTGCAGAAGGATTGCACTTCAGGTACAATAAACGCAACGGTTGTCATTAGAGCCATGAGCTTTCATTATAATAGTAAAAGAAGAAAAAAAAAGTGAAATGTTATTATAATATAGAAGAACTTTTTTTCTATTTGATTATTTTTTTTAAATTTGATATATTCCAGTCATGACAAAGCTGAATATTCAACAGCCATTACTCTTCAGTATCGCATGATCCTTCAGAAATGATTCTAATTGGCTGATTTGGTTCTCAAAAAACTTATTGTAAATCTTAAAAAAAAAAAAAATCTTATTGATTCCAGACTTTTAAAACAGCAGTATAAAGTTGACTGTTAACGTTATCTTCACCTCAGCTCACAGAACTTTTTGGTTGATTATTTAATACTTGCTAGTCCTCACTCACACAGAGTTATTGTATAACTTTTGAAGACTTGAACTAATTTTATTGTACTTTAAAGGAATAGTTTACCCAAAAATGGAAATTTGCTCATCCTCAGGCCATCCAAAATGTAGATTAGTTTGTTTCTTCATTGGGCTCCATCTCATTTTTGATGGTGCCATCAAAGTGAGAGTCCAAATAGCTGATTAAAATAATCCACAATCCACAACTGTTCCTTCAAATGTGCTTTTTTGGAGCTTCGCAGAATAAGTTAATTAGGCATTCTGCCTAAACTTCTCACTTTATGCTTCACACAAGAAAGAAAATATGTGGTCAGAACAACATGAGAGGGAGCAAATGATGTGAAAAGTTACATTTTGTAGTAAACTGTTCCCTTAATAAGTCTGTCTTACATTTAGAATGCCGTGGTTCCAGTACCCCATCATCTATGATATTCGAGCTAGGCCCAGGAAGATTTCATCCCTCACTGGAAGCAAAGGTGACCTTGAACCAGATTCTCATAAATGCAATAAATGTTAAACTTTGGCTTGATAGAGGTTCCAAATGATGTTGCTAGGCAACATACCCTGTCTCTCACTGTTGCCGTACTCAATAACCAACATGTTAAGAGTGTGCCACTTAAAAGAGTTCATGTGACTGTCCATCACAGATCTTCAGATGGTAAACATAGGTCTTCGTGTGCTATCTCGGCCCATTGCCTCCAAACTGCCGATCATGTACCAGCAGCTGGGGAAAGACTATGATGAACGTGTGCTTCCTTCTGTCGTCAATGAGGTGCTGAAGAGCGTGGTGGCCAAGTTCAATGCCTCCCAACTGATCACACAGAGAGCTCAGGTACAGTATGAAGACTGAAGGCCGCGATTCACCAAGTCAGCAGTCAGGTTTCAGCAATGTTTGGTTGTCGTTCAGTGACTGTTGGGCATGTTGAATCAGTGGTGGAGCCCATCCGTGGGAGAGTTTGGCTGTTCATCTTAGCAAACCAGTGCAAGAGAATGCCTTATACAATGGTCTTTATTAGTGAAGGACTGATTTTTGTATATGGTAACTGCTATATTTCTGCATTTTCATTCAGGCCCTCTACCATTTATGTTCAGACCAATAATATATAAAACAAATAATCACTTTCCTAAAAAGGCAGAAATGTGAGGTTTATCATTTTATAAAACATTGTCAGTACATTTTTGTCAAAACTGTATTATTTGAACTATAAAATTGTTTAAATCATGTTTTTACAGTCATTTTACAGTTACCATAGACATGTGGTTGTGTTGAAGAATATTATTTGTATCATTAGTTGATCTCCTCTTCGTCTCACAATCAGGTTCAGGAATGGTGCTATTTTGGGATATTTTTTGGAGCTTGGTAACCTCAGTCCCATTTCACTTACATGGAAAAGAGCAATGTGAACACATTCAAAATGTCTTTTTTTTGTTTTGAATGGAAGTCAGTCAGTCATACACAGGTTTTGAATGACATGCTCATAGAATAGATAACCTGATGTCATATTCCCAAAAGAATAGGATCAATATCATCAGGTATTTATCTTATTACAGATTCTGTTATAACCCCAAGATTCATTCCTAACCCATACATTCACCTTCTGCCCCTGACCTTTGACCTTAACACTGTCAGCAGCTTCTCAGGTCTGATCCTGGTGTGAGACAAAAATGATTAACTTTCAGCAAAGGCTAAGAAGCTCTGCCTTAACTTAGTTACAGAGCTGTTTACAAAAACGGACCGATATTTCACACACTCTCATCTAAAACAAGAGCTAGGACAAGATGGAACAAGAGCTGAGACACACTAGATTAAATATTTCATATTAAAGTATCTGCTTGTTTGGTCAGGTCTAGAAATTAAGACTTGTGACCAAAATGTATTACAGTTTTTCTACAGTGGGGTCCAAAGGACCACATTGAAAGTATGGTATTCTATTGAAGCACATGATTCCCGTTGGAACATTATCGACTCAACATAAGTTTGAGTTGGGTAACATGAATTTTACACAAACTTGTAAACTTCATGTCAGCTCAAATGTTAATGTCAGTAAAGCATAAGAAGGACATAGCAAATACTAGGACATTTATATACTGAAAAACTTTGTAAGTAAGAACAATTCTAAACATAAGCACTTTCACTTATGGACCTTATTTTATCTGCATGTCTGTTGATGATTTGATCAGTTGATCAGTTACTGAGAAAATGAGCCTAGCTGTTATTTATGTGTTGTGTTGTTTTGTTTTGGTGTTCAGGTGTCACTACTTATAAGGCGAGATCTAATCGAAAGAGCTAAAGACTTTAACATCATCCTGGATGACGTGGCCATCACAGAGCTCAGCTTCAGCAAAGAGTACACTGCTGCTGTGGAGGCCAAACAAGTCGGTTAGTAGTATCGAAATACATAATCTATGCAACCTTTTATGCCCTCTTGATAATGATAATACATATTGTGTACCCTAAACTAGCCTAAACGAAGCATCCTAATCCAACAAAAATGACCTAATAATATGACGTGTTTACATTTGATAAATAAGACAAGCCTCTTCATAAAGTCAGTTTGACACAATAGCCTTACGTTGACCTGTCTAAATCCCACACTCTTTGTCTTGAATCTTACCCAACAAATATAAATACTCAATAAGATCATCTGGGGGGTATTCCAGGAAGCAAGGTTAACTTACTGTCACATATACCATGAAGTCTCGGTTGATTAACCCAAACTTTGCTTACTTGAGGTATGCTGATTCCAAAAACGTGTCCGGAAGTAAGTTCAGTCAACTCAGAGTATGTTCACGGTTAACACACAAGACATTCTCAACAGAGAGATGAATTGACGAGTCACCATGAAAATGAACGCTAAGAAAAAGCACGTCATACTACTACTTTTTTTGTTCAATGGCCTTTTACATACTTAGTGCATATCACCACCTAATTGGTGGTCGTGCAGTCATTTTTCAATCTTTTCATTAAATCTTTAATCACTGAGAATAAGAATTATATTGTTTGTTTGATGCTCAGGGCTTAAAGTTCTCCGGCACTGTGCCGGATCTCTGGCGTGCAGCATTTGGCTGCGGAAAAAAATAGTCCTGCATTTAAAAAAAAAAAATCTTGTTGATTGATATCACTTTCGAGTCCATGAGTTCGCCCAAGTGTTGTTCAATACAATCATGTCATTTCTTGGTTTTGGTATTTTATTTGAGCCAATTATTCTTGCCTCATCGTTAGTTTATATGTAAATAGTCATACTAAAGCCTGGGTTTCACTTAGGTCTGTTTGTTACTAAAAAATATCAGATTACTCTGTTGTCAAAATAATCAGTATATTACTTGATTAGCAAAATAATCATTAGTTCGCCCCGCCCCCAGGGAAAAGTTCAGGCTCAGGATTTTTTTTTGCTTTAACCCCTGTATAATATAATAATGTATTTTCTTTTATAGAAATACAGTATAGAAAATCTCCTGTTGCAAAGAGAGAGAAAAAAATAATAAATATATCTTGTTAATAGTGCTTTATAATTAATATATAACGATACAACTTAAATATTACCTTATTACTTCTAATAGTGCTTTATAATATATATTTTTTATATTATATAACTTTATTGCTATATTGTAATAATATATAATTATAATATATATTATATAATAATATATATTGTGCGCAATTTACCATGTCCACTGGAGTCTCGTCAATAGGTCACACATGCGCTGATAGCTCTGAAATAAACTAACTCCGGAACATAACCTACTCCGGAGAATAAGTTGCTATGGCTACTTACATACCCTAAAAGTTACCTCCGTTTTGGGAACCGAAAGTCAAGTCACCTTTATTTGTTTAGCGCTTTATACAATACTGGGATCTGTCTCTGGGGCTCATCTAGTTGACGTGGTCTCCGGTTTTTCAAACAGGAAAATAGTTTGTCAATAAGGCAAGAAGACAATAACAGAGTCATTTTTCAGCTAACGTCAGTTCATTGATGATTCAGTGTTGTTTGGAGTTCAGCTCTCTTCCAATAGTGTCTGTGTAATCAGTCAAGCGTCCCCCAACTAAGCACACCAAAGGTGACAGTGGCAAGGAACCAAACCTCCATCAGTGACAGAAATGGACAAAAACCGTGGGAGAAACCAGGCTCAGTCGGGGGGCCAGTTCTCCTCTGGCCAGACGAAACCAGCATGACGAGGTTTAATT